TTTACCCCAATATTCTATGTTTTAATTGAGATATAATTTACATATAATAAGTGCAAAGATTTTTTAACGTACAAGTGGATGAGTTTTGACAAATGCATGTGCCCACGTCACCGCCACTCCAATCAAGATACAGAACATTTCCATTACCCCTTCAAGTCCTCTCCTGCCTGTTCCTCCCTCCTGCTTCCCCCACCTCCCTCTAGGCAGCCACTTTTCTGACTTCTGCCTCTCCTAGAATTTCATCTAAGTGGAATCATACTGCATGTAACCTTTCATGTTTGACTTCTTTTGCTCAACATATTCTATTATTTTTATGTATATTCATTGTCTGAAATTACTTGTCACTTTATTTTGAATTTGTTTGATGGCCAGTGAGGCTCAATATTTTTCCATGTCATTTGTACACAGCCTTTTAGGGCAGTGGATCCTTACTCTGGGTGCACATTCCTGGGCTCCAGCACAGATGAATTAAATCAAAACCTGTGGGCACAGGGCCTGTGGATCAATATTTTTCTAAAAGCATCCTCATGTGATTCTAATGTGCATCCAGGGTTGAAAATGACAGATTTAGGAAAGAAAAAGGAAGGAATTGTCAAAACTCTAGGTTTATTTTTGTTTTCATTCCCCTGATCCCTGTCCTTACCTTTACAGACAATGCTTATTGTTTACATGTTTTCCCAACCACTTTTTCAGAGCAACAAATTCCTTTCCTTTTTGAAATCAAAGTAGTAACAATGTGGTTTTACTTAAACACAGCTAAAAGTTGTCCCTGAATTTTAGAACATAAGTACTGTGCTGCCTCATAACACTAACAGTTAACAAAAGCTCCCTCAAAAGTGGAGAAATTTTTTAATTTTTTTTAAAAAAAGAAGAAAAAAGCCAAAAATAAACATAGCAAATCTACATGTTCTTCGGGGATGTTGGCTAACAGAACATCAGACCAAACCAATTGCCAAATAGCCAGCCAGCAACAAGGAAAGGTTCTAAGTTTTCACCAGCTGTCCTGCATCAACGTACTTTTCAATCAAGCATAACACTACAGGGAGAAACCTGAATACCGAATAATAGGAGACCAGTTAGTATAATACATTCACTTAATGGGACATAATATAACTATAAAGAATGATGGCTATGAATACTAGATCACATGGAAAAATGCTTATGATATAATAAATGAAAACAGTGTAAGATAACATTTTTTTTTTTTTTTTGAGACAGAGTCTCGCTTTGTTGCCCAGGCTAGAGTGAGTGCCATGGCGTCAGCCTAGCTCACAGCAACCTCAAACTCCTGGGCTCAA